CTGTGAGCCATGTCCACGAGGTCATTTCTTTACAGAGATGAAGTAACTTATTTTCTCAGTTCTGAAATGGATTTTGAGGTTTTTTTGTACCATTTTTGGGAGGGAATCATCTGTTTCTTTTAAAGAAAAGCTCTTAGGTGACAGTGGAAAGGGTAGATGGGGAGAGAAATAAGCGGAAATCCCATGGGAAAAAACTTGAAGTCTTTTTAACAGCATCAGATATTTAGGATTTGTTATTCTTACAAATACTTTTAATTTGGACATATTTTGCAGCCAAATTTGCCATGCACTGATAACGTAGCGTTTGATATGGAAAGGCTCACCAGAAACCAGGCAGTTAACCGAAGATCAGCCCTAGGTGACCTCGCCAGCGACAACTCCCTTGGCCTCGAGCCACTTCGAACTTCGGGGATCTCGCCTCTTCCTCAGGATGGAGAACTCACCCCTAGAACAGGAGAGATCAACATCGCAGTAACAAGTAAGTTGGGCCTGCGCCCAGGTGCAGGGCAGGTTTTCCGCTGCTGTTAGGCATGGGGAGACCATTAGAGAGGGGAGCTGAGGTGGACGTGGGGCCAGCGACATAGTCTGTACCCTAGAAAATAATGGGTACTTTTGTCAAAATGGATATTTGGAGTGACAAAACCTGCTTTACAATAGGGAGCTTGCGTGTTGTGTGTAATTGTTAGGAGTAGCTGCCCTGACCAGTAGTTGTTCAGAGGCATGTTTGTCTCAGCAGCTGTTTATAAACCTGTTTTTGAAATGATCATAATGCAAACAGGCATGTTAAAGGGTCACACTGGGACAGACAAAGGAGGCAGCTTCTGGGGAGTGACCATGAGCACCAGTGCTCTCGAGGTTCGATCTGAACGATGACAACTTCAGGAAGAGCCGAGCAGCCTTGGCCACCCACTGTATTTCACACTTACGTGAAGTGTGGTATTTGGCACTTTTCTCTTCGGTATAATTGCACACGAGGGCGAGTGGAGCCAAAGGGAAGTCCGCCTACCAGACTGCTCTTGGGCTGGCCGTGAGCGTCCCGCTGCTGACCCACTGACGAGAGCAGCAGTGCTCCGAGTGCTGACGGCCATACCAGTAGGTGTGAGTGGGCAGCGGCGTGTGTGGCAGACCTTCCCCCGTAACCAGCCAGCTCTTTTCTTCAAGTCCATTCTTTTCGTGTTATTTTCATTTAACAACTCTCCTCCCCATCTCATCACCACTCTGGTGCTGTCGCTCACCTGTCGCTTCAAGCCCTAAGCCTAACGAGACTGTTTACCTCTGAGAGTTGATACAGTGCTAAAGCTGTTGAAAAAGATTTTTCCCTTCACATAGTAAGACTCATTGATGTTTTTCACCAACGCAAAGTTATTAGAAGATGATTTCCCAGGCTTTATTCTATCATTTGTCTAAACTCAAAGAGACTTCGTTCCGTTATAAAATAAGTAAAACTAGTCTTTGATATAGTTTGACTCGTTTCTGACCATTTCCCAGTGATTTGTTTTAACAGCATTTCATATTTTCCTACTTTGGCATTAAGGTTTTGTGGTCTAGATTTTTTTAACTTGAACTAGTGGTAATAAAGGAGACAAAGGTTGTTTATTAATGAGTTTTCGTAGGACCTTCATTGATTGACATTTATTGAGCACCTACTACAACATTAATTCTATTATATTTTATGTAGAAATGACCTTTCAAAATCTGTTTTGATGATAAGAAAATATTATTTCATTTGTCAAATTAATCATTTGTAGAAGAATTTACACGTTAATTAATAAAATTCATGTGGTTAAATTTTACCAAAGGTACCTCTATTTTCCCTCAAAGCCCTGTAGTGCCACAGCAACTACAGTGCACCCACTGTGTGCAAGGCACTGTGCTAAATACACTCTGGGAGGACAGAGGAGACTGAGACCCTGGCTGCAGTGGACCTCTGCTACACGAGCCCTGAGCCCATTCGGTTCGTTACGATGGTGTTTATTTTTTCTGGTTACTAGTTTTTATCAGCGAAATTTCATGTATATATGGATGGTATTTTCAGAATTAAGAAACATAGGCATAATTGAAATTCTAAAAGTTAGTCTGCTTATCATGTATTAAAGTCTCTTAGAAGGAAAAAAAGTAGAGAATGCCATGTTAAGCTTTTGATACAGATGATCAATCATCTTTTAATTTTTTTAAATGCCGGCATACATTTTTCCTAATTTAAAATATATGCAGGTAAAAAAAGTAGATTTTGTATGGGTTCTGAATGTTCATTTTGATGTTAATGAAAACCTTATAAATTCACTGTACCAATAAGGAATATATATATAATCCAAGAAGCAGTGGCTACACTGTTGTCTAAAAGAACGATTTTGTGAAGTCTTTTAATAATACAAACCAAGGTGGGCAGAGAATTCCTCATAGAACTCAGCATCCTGGAATCCTGAAGAACAGCTCACCACCTGTAAAATCCAATGAAAGTAGAATCATCCTTTCTAGGAGAATTCCTAGGCACACGTAGTATTATTGCATAGTTGGAGGACTCGTGGAAACTGGATGCAGAAGCACGCGTGGTACTCACAGCCGTTGCACACAACA